TTAGTCGCATATGCGAGTGATTTACTCTCAATGTAGAGGGTTGACTTACATGAAGCTTCAAGTGCGACCGGAAGTCCTCATTTTAGTCATACTGCCCACCCTGACTAAGCCGTTTCAGTCAGTAGCTGTTTTTAAACCTGCTTTGAGACTGGATTGCCAAGGTCAGTGGAAGCTGGCGACTCTGCTGTGACGTCAAACATGACATTGAATGTGTCATACCTATTTGTACAGTTTAAATAACACAGAATAAAAAGAGCATTAAATAAAGCTGCAATTCACAGTTGGGGTCCAACACATTGATCCCTGTAAATGTCAGAAGGCTAGATGATTTTTGAAGGAATTAGTTTGTTTGTGGGTGACGTAAAAATGCAAGCTTTTATATTATTGTAATGATATTTAAGTTTTCTTCTTGGCTACAATGAATGTTTGCTTAAAACGATTCCTTTCAAAATCACACTTTCAAAGCAAATGCATTAATATCTAAATGTATATGCTTATATTTAAATGTTTCATATAGAGGCAACCTATATATATATAATGTGTGGAGAGGATGCTATCAGAATGTTATTAGTGTGTACATGTAAATAAAACTTCTCTATATATTTAAATAAATGACTGACAAGCTTGTGTGTAATAATTGCTCATGCCCTATCATTCACATAAGCTTGCATTTATTGATTTTTTTTTGTGGTCTGTCTTGTGTTTGCAGTGGATATCGCTAGGACCCAAGAGCTCTGAGGCTTCTCATAAATAGGTGACCTGCTTTATGCCAGTCAGAACATCAGATTACGGATGAGAATGAAGGGAACTCTGGATGAACCACGCTTTTCTGTTGAGCTGCTGGAAGGAAGCGCAGCTCTCCGAGGTTTGATCGATAAACACATCCATGATCAAACTCTTGTAAGTATAAAAAGGAATTCTGCTTTATTGTTCGCTTATTGTGCCTTTTCTCTTCATACCAAAGCATGTTGTATGTTGTTTTTTCTTTAGGCACTGAAGAGTGCATTTTTTGTGGCTGACCTGGGGGTGATTGTGCGGCAGCAAGTTCGCTGGAGAGCTAAAATGGACCAGATTCGGCCTTTCTACACAGTCAAGAGCAACAGCAGCCCTGTGGTTGTTGAAATCCTGGCTGCTCTTGGAACTGGCTTTGTTTGTTCAAACAAGGTGAATATAAAGTATAAAATGTCTCATCTCCTCTCACTAAAACTAGATTACTCGGTGTCCTAAAATAGCATTCCGTTTCTGTCTTAAAGCTGTTTTTAAAATATATTATTACTTTTATTAGTTTCTTTGTGTGTGTCATCTGTTTTGGCTCCTGTGCTTGTCTTTCAGCATGAGCTGGACTTAGTAAAGGGCTTTGGCGTCCCGTCTCAGGACATCATTCTCGGCGGCACGTGTAAACAGCTCTCTCATATCAAATACGCAGCCAAACACAACATCTCCCTCCTGGTTTGTGATAATGAGGCAGAGCTGCGGAAGATTGCACGATGTCATCCCAAAACAAAGTGAGTGAGGTGGTCATACTGCACTTACGAGGCTCATCTGCAGTGAAAGGTCACAGTTCTCAGACGATATCTGTTTAGTCGGGGTGGGAATATTTAGAAACCTCACAATCCGATTCAGATTCTGGGAATCACAATCCAATTCTAAAACGTTTCTTGATTTACATGTTTGTTTTATAATAGGTGTACTAACATCGAATATTAATTTTGTGTGTTAAAATTTAATTTACTTATATAAGTTCTAAAGTACTTTTAAAAAAAATTATAAATTAATAATAAATCAAACCAATTGAACACAAAGCTTAGTTCCGCCATGAAATAAAAAAAAAAGGTATTTTCGACTTCTGACATTCTTTTCTCAAAATTCTCACAATTCTAAAAAAAAAAAAAAA